ATGTTCTCAAAATGAGTCATGAAAGAAAATATAAACCTAATTGGTTTTCTAGTTTCAGCTTTGGCATACTTTTCCCTTTAGGTGATAGATAAGTGCATAAAAGTAATTGATGGTGAAGTGTAAAAAACAGAGCCCCACGGCTTCAGAATGGCCATTTTCACTATACAGAGGTTGGCTGAGATTACATAGAGAGAGTTGAAGACTGGGAAAAAGTATGAGTGGTTACCTTAATCTAGATGTTTGATGTGTTTATCCTTTCATAACAATAAAATAATTTTCCCAAATATGAGCATTGCCTACTACAGTACAAGAATAATTAGTCTATGCCAGTGATTACATGATAATACATAATTAAGAATACGGGGGAAAAGTTCCCACTGCATAGATAAGGAGGCCTTGAACAGAGCATCAGTGAGTTAAAACACTGACAAGTCACTATAAATGCTGTTCTCGGTAAAGGCAGTCACACAGACTAGCAGACCTTTGAGTCATGGGAAACCTGCAGTTCTCAGGACACTGACAGCTTCAACTTGAAAATATGCTTTTGACTAATAAAACGATTCAAATAGAATTTTTTCATTTTTATCTCATTTTCTTTTTTAACACTTTTCCTTTTAAATTTTCTTTATCGAACTTTAAAAATTTCATACAACAGTTCTTAATCAAATTTAGACCTTCTCCCCCATCAATGTTCCCCCTTCCCCTGACCAGACCTCATGTATTCTGCCTTACATGTTAAGTCCTATCCAGTCCAGCATTTTTACCCAGATGTCCTTTAGTGTAAATTTGTCCACTGGAGTCTAGTCGTCTTATCTAGACAAATTATGTAAGGAATACTCTCCCTCAGCAATAGCAATCAGTCTCTAAGTGTTCTCAGTCTGGGGCAGGCCCCCACCCATTTCACTCCTCCTTTCTGGGTCCTTGTTTAATTGAGTTGTCATGGATTCCTTGCTCAGTGCCACCAATGCAGCAAGTTCTCACGTGCCAGCTTCCAGTGGCCTGAAAGCCTTTGTTTCCCCATGTTCGTGAACCAGCCCTGGCTCTTAAAATCATTCAGCTGACTTTTGTGCAATGGTCCCTGAGCCTGGGTAGGTGAGGTTCAAAATAGGAATCCTATCCAAGGACACACACTCTGAAGTCTCTTATTCTTTAAAACATGGCCAGGTGTGGCCTTCTGAGTTTTTGGGTTTTGTTTTTTTGTTTGTTTTATGTATATGAGTGTTTTGACTACATACAAGTGCATTCATGCATGCAATACCAGAAGAGGCGGGAAGAGGACACTGGCTCCCCTGGAACTGGATATAGGGATCATTGCTAGCAAGCAACAGCCTGGGTGATAGAAAATCAACCTGGGTCTACTGAAAGAGGAGTTGGTGCTTTTAACCACTGAGTCCTATCTTCAGCCCCCTTCATTTTCATTTAAAGGAAATTTTTGCTCTCCATTTTTTACTTTGATGGGAAAAACTTAGAATAGGAGACAGAATTATTTTTGCATGAATTATACAGGGCAAGGACTGCCGGGGCCAAGTCACAGGTTAGAATGACATATAAACTCTGCTTCAAACTTTGCCCTCTTACCTTCATCTTTCCACTGGGTCATACCTTTCACTCCCCCTTACAACCTCCAGGAGTATATCATCACTCATACCTGTGCCCCTGTACAAGCCCCTCAAGGGATTCAAGGATTTAAAAAAAAAAAAAAAAAAAAAAAAAAAAAAAAAAAAAAAAAAAAAAACGCTAACAGGATACAGATTGAGTATGTTTTTCGTTTAGATGAGTAAAGATACCCAGAGGGGTGGTCTGGAGAAATGGCTCACAGGTTAAGAGCATTGGCTACTTTTGCAAAGGACCCAAGTTCAGTTCCCAGCATCCACATGGAGGCTCACAACTGACAGTAACTCCCATTCCAGGACATTGGAAGCTCTCTTCTGACCTCCACTAGCATTGCGCAACACAGATGCACTTACAAACATGCAGGCAATGCATTCATATATATAAAAAGTAAAATAGTTTTAAAGATACTCAGAGGGCTGTGAGATGCATGCCACCTCAGCTTAAAATGTAGGCCATAGCGTCTGTAAAATTAGCCCTCCAGATGAGGAGATGAGAAAATATTAGGAAGCCTTCACAAATACTGGTTCAAACCTTTTGTTGAGCAAGTAACCCTAACTTGTCCTAAAGTTCAGATGGAATATAGTGTGGAACTGAGGTTTTATTGCTGTGCTGAGTCACCCAGGGCCAAAATTTTTGAATGAAGGGAAGTAGAGCTCCAATTTTGTGCATGTATACTTATGCATGTTTGTATCATGTATAAATGATATTGTTCTATATCCAGATAGAATCACTAAGCTTAAGAATCCCTAAATTTCTATTCAATTGACTTAGAATTGATTGATCACTTATATAAATTAAATATATTCAAAATGGTTATACTATAGAGGCAAAATTCTTTTCATGTGAACACAAGTGAAAGTTTTGGGCAAA